TCAAGGTGCCCAGTAAAATGAGATTCAAATTAAATTCATATAATTTTAATCATTTTATTGCAAGAATGCCCTATATATGTATTGTGAAACGGCTGTTGATATTGTCGGAACGTTTACCTATACATTATTTTGGATATGTTCTAGTCTGTCCCCAAAGCAGGAAAATGTAACCAACCCTCATCAGCATCAAATCAATACAGGACATACGATATTGCTCATCCCTTCACGAATTAGCCGAAAATGAGCGTCTGTAGCATTATTGCCCTGAAAGTTATGTGGAAAAATAAATATATGTATATACAGCTAAACTCTAAATATTTTTATGATTTCAACTCTACTTACATTATGTTAGCTATAAAGCGGTCCAATTCATCTGAGTCTGGGTATCTGCCCTTAAGGTTCATTGTATGCCACCCACATAGCTCTGATAAAACCTGTGCCCCACTTTGTAATAAGCGCTAATTACCCTCGAGACATTTTGGCAACTTGAGATATGAAAATGTTGTAGGCCAATTAGTCCAAATGTTTTTTGTCAGGTAGGTAAACGTTTCATTGCACAGATGAAAATACAATGAATCACGTATCGGCTCTTTCACACTTGCACTATAAATCTACATATATATGTATACTCTACATATATATATACATATATGTATGTATAATTGATGAAACGTATTAACTGTAATGTTGAAAGAGTAAACGAACAGGAATTTGGGAGCTTAAATTGTCGACGATTTGGATGGGCTATTCCACACTTCCGTCGTCAGCAACGAGTCCAGTCATTAAATTATCATTTATACTTGTCTGCCTCTGGGCGTTCATATTGTAATTGTTCAACTTGTAAACGAGCAGAGAGAAAACCTCTACCGGTAGAGTAGACTGCAGCACACTGAGCAGCTTGCCAGGCTTGTTGCAGACGACGATCGCATTCATCAGATGATCGGCTCCTCGCTCGAAGTTTCCCTCGGTGATTAGAAGTTCGCCCTTGTGGATTTCCTGCATAAAGTAGCGCTCGATAGAGCGCTGATCGGTCAAGATGGGCACACCTTCGTGCTGATCGGGCTTCCGATTGCGACGACGACGCTCGTAGAGCTTTTTCTTGAATTCGGGGTGGTTGCGGCGCTTGCTGTCGAAATAAACGCAATAGCCGACAAATGCGACGCTGGCCAAGCCAGCGACAAGGCTCAGAGACGTTTTATTGACAAGCACTCCAATCATTTTGAAACAATTTTTGCTGTAACGAAATATCTATTGAGAGCGGATAAAATCTTGGGACTGAACGATGCTACTTTTAAAATTGTGTTTAAAAAAAAAATTATTTGTATGATATCCAATAAACCGATCGACTACTAAGAAGAACTACAAAATGTATAACATTCCAAATCTATTCAAACTAACATGACCTTCAAATTCCATATGACAAGCAGGTTTTGTATGGGTATTGAACAGGTAAGGTTGGATTGATATTCTCGGTTTCAGCAGATTAAGATTGAAGACTCCACCCACTAAGCCCTCCTGCGAACGTTCACTTTAACCGACTTTTTTATACCCTGAACCCATTGAAAATGGGAAATCAGGGTATAATGGTTTTG